GAGGATAAACTAAGAGCGTAGGTGAAGGATTGCCTGAAGGTGATCCAAACAGTGAGAACAAAGCGAGGCCACTGGAAAACGGCAGGAGAAAGAAGCCTCACTGGGAATTTCAAAAGACCTGAAATAACAGCGTGCTGTGCGTTTATTTACCGAGAATGAGATTGTGATCATATCCTACAAGAGGTACCTGTAAAGAATTTGATTCCAATCACAGAACAAATCATAGTGAAAAACAGCAGATCCACGGCATGAAACTACGAGCAGTCTGTCACTTGTGGATAAAGAACTCTGTTTGTTTCAGTTCTGAGAATCTCAAGTCTACAGCACAAGTGTCTCACACCATTTATTTTGTCCCGTTCCTGCAGCTCTTCCTAATGCTCTGTGTGTGACCACAACTGAAAGCACTCTTCTGCAGCTGCAGTTCTCTGCAATTCTCCGTTAGACTTAATTCCTCTATTCTGACTTTTAGACATCTTCATTGCGCAGAACTGTGCAATATGTTGCTGAAACATCTTTTCCCCCTTCTGTTTTAGGGATGTCCCCGAACTTCTTTGCCTACTTTTGTTTAACACTCATCTCTGCTGCCTGCCACCCAGCTGTGCACCCACATTTAATTCCAGCTTCCTGTGAAACCGCTAGGCTGCTCTTCACTACACTGCCTTCCTCTAACAGGGAGCCACTCAGCTGTTAGCTCTCCAGAGCTCACATTCTGTGGTCAAACTGACTGCCACAGTGATGTCAATTCCAGCCTATTCCACACAGATCTGCTTTCAAAAGAAGGAATTAATAAAACATATTTGGATAACTGAATGAGTATCACGAGATTACCCTATAGTTCTCTTTTCCTTTTTACTTTTATTTTTTCAGTAACTGCTTAAAAACTGGTATTCAATAATATAACTCACTGAGAGATGTATAATTTACTTACTGAAAAAGTACCACTGCAGGTCTGACTTGCTTTACAAAAATATTCGTCAATCCTTGCAGTTCTTCCAGGAAAATACAGACAATTCCCTTAGCAGCTTCTTCTCTCTTTATAAAACTGTTTTCACCTTTTCAGCCAGACAGATGCTAGGGAAGTTTTAGCACTTGCAGTTCCTTACTATCTTCCCTTTGGGTATGTGTTGCTGTACTCACTGCATCATTTCTCCTGTCTCTGAATATTTTAAAGAAAGTTGGTTTACAAATTAAATCTTGAGAAAGGTGAGAGCAGAAACTGGTATTTCCACTTTTGTTCCCAGCCATGTGCTGTGGAAGTAATGTCACTTGAAATGTAACTTGATAAGTAATGTAACTTGAAAACACGGATGTTAATGGTGTCACTGTGTAATATGTTTCTCCAGGTTAGCGTGCATCCACAATAGTGAACTGTGGCTATCATGAGAAGTATCTGAGAAAAAGAAATGAATACACATCATTAATGAAAGGGATTTCCCACATCTTATGGTGGCACTTGTAACTTACAGTGGCAAATCACCAATTAGCTCTGGCAATCTTCATTATAGAAGCACTAAATTATCTCAGCATTTTATTTTGTAAGGTATTCTAGTTCAAATAAGGAAGGTTTACAAAATTCTCTTTTTAACTCAGTACACATTTTCCATTGGGCTAGTTATTACTCTTTAAGCTTTAATCACTTTAGTTTCAAAGCACAACAGAAGTACTCCAAACCGTAGTCATTCTAATTTGTTTGTTTGTTTGCTTTTCCATAATGGGGTAACATCAAAGCCAGAAGCAGAGCCAGAATTACCAGAAAGATGGAAAAAACAACAACTTATACGATGAATTAAGTAAAAGCGTTTCACAAACTTTCCTTCTCTGTTGTTGGGGAAGAAATATTAGCCAGTAAAATGAAAGTAATAATCAATCAAGGGCATATAGTGAGCTTATGGAGGAGGCAGATGCTCACAGGAGGCCTGTCAAGGTCAAGCATTCAGCAGAGGACACGCTCATCTGCTTCTTTTCCTACCCCCCAGCGCAGCATTCCTTTCCCACAGACACAAATGGCATCATGCTCTCTCTTGCTCCCTTGCCTGACCTACAGCAGCTGTGGGGACACTGTGAGGGACAGGGACTGCTGGTTTGTATGGCTTAAGGAAGTGACGTGTCAGGCCAATGATCATGTGCACAGCAGAGGCTGCACGTATTCAGTACTGCTGGATCCAAATACGATGCAGCTCCATGACTGAAAGTCAGATCGCTCCTCATTAAAAACAATTTCATAGTGCTGATTATGAAATTAATTTCCAGCCATGAGTTGCTGCGATACCATTGCTGGTACCATTGCTGAAAAGCATCACCTTCTAATTCAGAGCACTTGTACAGCCCTTTCACTTTCCATTCGCCTTGGCAAAAAAAAGAAAAAGAAAAAAAAAGTCACATTTCTTTGTCAAACACTTCTTAATCTATTTTTTGTAGCAGAAATGAGAAGTTGTAAAGACAAAGTATTTTCCACTATGCATGCGTAACATTTAATTTCTGTCAGGAAGAACTTACCCCATTCATCTTATTAAAGGTGTGTTTTTTCCTTGCTCATTATACGTATCTGTTTATATCTCTCTATTTTACTGCGAAGAAATAAATGAAAATGGAAGCACTGTATGTCATTTTACAACAGAGCTGATAACTTGTATGCTTGTGTGATTTATTTGAGCTGCCTCTGCCTTGTCAACCATGATGCTATTTCACACCTCAGCTATTACAAACTGCTAAATAAAGAGGATGTTTTTCACAACATTTTATCACAGAAATATGCATTTATATGTATGGTAAAAATAAGAAATCTAAACATCCTAACATTCACGATCCGTCTCTTCCTGAAGTTGATTAATTTTACCACATAATACAGAATTTGGCTTTAATTTTTAGAATAGTAGGAAACAAAAACTAAAAAAAAAAAGTTATTAAAAATAGATCTAGAGTAAAGCAATTTTTGCATCATGCTATATTCTTCTCTTGGAATTTTATATCAACAAAATATAGCAGCAAAAATCACTAAGAGGCTAGTAAGCTAGCTAGAGATGCAATATGCTTCCTCTTGAAAAAGGTGTATGTAATGCAGACATAACACTACTATAGATTTATTCTTGCACGCCACTGTAAGTACAAATATGTTCTTCTACAAATGTTTATCAGTACACATATTATTTATCACACAATCCTAACAGCACCATAATTCTGTCAGTTGTTTGAATACTTGCAGAAAAACTCACATTCCATATGTGTACTGACATAGGCACACAAACACCTAAAGTAGACAAACAAGAGAGAAATTTTAGGAAAAGTTTTCAAACCTTAGACTTCCGTGTTGTCTGGTTACAACTCATAACAGAAAACCTTGGCCTCTTCCTTAATATTAGAGTTAAATTGCTTATCCCCAGTATGAAGGCAAAAGCTTCTTGACTGAAGGCATTTTTTGTTAGGTAGGCACATACAAGTTTTTATCAGAGATGCAATTCCAGTAAGATGTGCACCTTGAACAAACAAGGATATTAAAATAATTTTAAAAACTTAAGTAGCTGAGCATTAGACTATCATATGCTTAACCTACATTTATTTTTTAATAAGTTGCTGAGCATTATTGCAGCTGGTGCAAATCTGTCACGCAAATGGCAATCGACACTGACGGTTTCTTTGGCTGTTTATTTTTCTTCAGTAAGGCCAGATTATAAATGCTTTCATTATAGTCTTAGTTGAGGTAAGAAAGCATTTAGAGATGTTATTTAGGCCCTACTTTTAAGATGGAGCAATAAAAAACACAGATTATTAGTAATAGCAATATTTCTTTTGAATTCTCTTAGAGAATTCAGACTATTTGGCTTCTCCAAAGGCAGAGATATACCAAAGTTCTCAAAATCATAGTTTCTAAAATAGGAAAAGAAGGACCAATGAAGAACAGCACTGTAAATTCTTCCATTTCCAGTAACAGACTGTGTGATAGTATCAGCTATACTCTAATGTGTCACACTCCAAGGGAAAACACATTGGTAGTATCTAGTGAGAGATGGGTACTTACCCATGAAAAAAAATTGATCAAGAATGTACTTTCTGAAAAAACAGCCATTCAGAAATAGGTCCTAGTTGACTATTCCTTCAAAACAATTCAAGAATCTCCTAAAATTCATAGCAAAAAAAAAAAAAAAAAGCGAACAACACTTAAATTGACAGGTAAGCATTAGTTTTAACTCAGACATTAGACGCACTGTAATTCAGAAGGAAATGAATGAAAACAATCCAACATGCCAAAGTTTATCATCTGAAGTATCTGCAGAAGCACAACATCATGTGAGTCAAACATGGCTGCTTAGTGGTGAAGGTGTCATGGTGTACATTAAGACACAGCAAACACAACAGGTACAAATTCAGGTACAATTAGGTAGCACTTACCTCATTACATCACCGACTGAAATACGATGCTCTCTGCCAACGGGTGCACAGAAGCAATGAATATTTGATCTCAAGAATGTAGATTGCACTTAGGAAATGAAGGACATACCCCTGGGAAGGACAAACTTGAAACACAAATCAAGGGTAGACAATCATCTGAACATGGACTCCTATGGAAATGCGATAGCCAGAAGATTAACGGGATCAGCCCAACATGCTGGGCAGCTCATGCTTAAGAAAATTCAAAACATGGTTACTATTTTTAAGTGTTAAAATGCTTTCAAAAATACTACACAAGAACCTCTTCAGTGTTGCCTGCAGATCTAGGTGTTTTCTTTATTGCCCCTTTTAGTACTTCAGAACTAAATATATTCACAGTACCACCAAACAAACCTAAGGCCTACTGAGAAGAGGCCACACTCTTCACAGTACCAGCCATTATTTCCAACAACTTATCTTTAATTTGAGATGAAGACAGAAACCATGACAGAAACTTTGAAAAGAGTAGCAAAATTCAAATCAACTCAGCAGGTCCGGGATAGCACCTGAATGAATTTCCTTCATTTCATGTCTGAATAATTAAAGTTCTTGGATTACACAAGATGAGAAACAAAGAGTTTTAAATGATTTATTTGATTTCTCCACATGATCACAGTTATAGTTTTACATCAATAGGGTCTGTTACTACTTACAAACAGAATGCATATTAAAATGAAAGCACTCCTTTCTTCCCCATAGTTACAAAAGGGGTCTCAAGCCTCCCCAGAACAGAAGCTTCTTGTAAGTGTAATGATTTTTGAAGTCTTTAACAGTCTGCATTCAACACCTAATTCTAACAGTTTAATACAACTCAAAGCTGATTTTAGTTCCTAGCAGGAGATAGGTATTGTAGGCAACCTCCAAGTGACTGCAGACTTAGAGTAATACTAATTTACACACTATGTACAATTTAGAGAATTGTCTACTCCCCCTACTTGGTCCCGTTTTCACCACCCCCTTTTCTATTTTCCAAATTTAATCTTGTTATTGGTTCCTCTTTTCTTTTAAATATATACACAATAATCCATTTTGCAGGCAAGAAGTGCGATGGTATTTTACAACGGAACAGCAAAATGCATGCTTAACTGCAGAAAACACACAGCTTCATATGGAACAGCAAGTCAACATCTAGAGATTCATTTTTTTAAATATCTGCTGACTGTCTTTCAGCTCATTTTATCAAGAAACAAGAGGCTTCTGCTGCATGCAGTACATGATGGGAAAATCATTCTACACTGTATGTTAGACTTTTTTCTTTTTAGCGATACAAGACGTACATTATATTAGGATGAACTCTGTTTTCTGTTTTTACATTGTTGCACATTTCCATTTTTAACTTAAAAGAAAATTAAAAACCCCAAATATATATTTAATTGTTGTCCCAGAAAAGATTTTTGTCGCCACACCTTCATTCTTTAGGCTTCCCTTTCATTTTTTCAAATCAGCAATACTACTTTGCTGCAGTTTTTTTTATGGGAAAAGAGAAACATGGTCACTCTACACAGTTCCGTACCAGTTTTTATTTGGCAATGGCACTTGAGGAAAAAAACCTCAATTTTATACCTGCCTGCAGGCTAAAAAAAGAAAAAAAAATTAGTTTTTTTAACTGCACAGTGTTTAAAATACTGTCATTTTCCTGTTCTAGACATGACTCACACTGTTCTAAGCAATTGTTAACCAAGAATGGAATCAGAGAGGTTATACTAAAACCCTAAATACAGTTTAAAAAAAATAATCGAGTCCACTGTTTCTCCCTACTGTTTTGAAATAACGTTTACAGTTACTGTGCTCCTATACGACCATCTTGGTTTTTTTAAACTAGTCTCAAAATAGTCTGTGATTTTACACATGCAGCTTAATGCACCTTACAAGGTAGGCACAAACTCTTTCTCCACGTGCAGATGAAATCACTGCAGATGTTTTTTGCATGCACAGTTGTGATTCTCCTGAACGTTTAGCTGATTGCACATGGAAAATCAGTGATCAAGCACTAAAACGTGGCTTACAGTGTAAGTATAGAATATTTATATTTGACTAATTTAAATGAATGAAAGGGGTTTTGAAACAAAGCAAATGCAGATCTGGAGATTTAAGGTCTTCACTGTTAACTAAGTAACACAGCTTGAGTCAGATTTTCCTCTCAGCTGTTACTGAACATTCTGCATTTACACAGTACACGGTGAATTTTACTTACATTAAAACTCTGCATCTGAAACAAGTACAGTCACTGCTTCTCAATGAAGAGGAGCACTCTTACCTCCATTTCAATCAAAAGATGCAGTTTGTGAAAGATAATTGTAACCAAATGACTCTTTATCTTTTCTGGAACAACCTATAAATTACAATTAGACTCTACTATTGGTACAGATGTATGAAGAAAAGTCTACATATTGAAATATGTTATCACTTTACTTCAACTAATATCAACAGTTAACACTGATATATTTTGCAAATATACAATATGTAGAGTGTAGCCTCACACTAATAACATTAGATGACATGCAGACAGTTCTACTTTCCCCTATAAGAACAGTATATATTTTTTTTAAACTGCAAGGAACAGAGCCTCAGGGGACCTGTAGGAGCCCTCTTAAGGTTAGCCGCAGAATTTAGACTAGTATGAGTGATACTTAGAAATTATAATGCAACCATTTGTTTTCTTTTAATGAAGACCATTAAGAGAAGGAGCAGAATGGGAAAATATTGCACATGTGGGAAACAAATGTGGACAGCTTTGAACAAAAGGCTAAACTCTAGATTGCTGTATTTGCTCTCTGTGGAGGTTAACAAAGTGCTGAGTTTGCAGTTTTGCTGGTATTGTGATATCAATGGTATGAAAGGGAAAAATAATTACACACACCCCAAATATTATAGATGCCATGAGCAAGCCAAAATGAAGGTTACTCTCTTATTCTCACTTCAGTCTCATTTTAACTTCTTTCCACTTTAACTGATTTCTTCGTTATTCCTGAAAAAATATTATTAAATATAAAATTGACTATTATTCTTACTTTTACCCATGTCACACTGGAATTTTTTGCTCATCCTCTTCAAGGTTTGCTTTTAGGCTGGTACAGTTTTGCTGTTCTGATTCCTTTGCCTCCTGTTTACACTTTTTAGTGCCTCCTGTTTAGGTGTAAAGTTCTTGCAGTGGCTCAAATTGCTGAAACTACAAAGTAGGTGCCATGTGTAACTGTACAGGATTTAGGGATAAAATTTTATATCAATTTGCAAATGGTTTGATTACAACACATAAGCAACAACAGCACAGCCTGTTTTTATGTGATGTCTTGCAACTAACTGGACTATGAAAGTGAGGGTTTGAGCATAAACTCAGCCTGCTGAGTGCTGGTTACTTTCAAACTAACAAATGTGATGAGTAAAAATGGTGAAGCCACTTCATTGCTAGTGCATGGCTACATGGAATTACAGATTTTTTTTTCTTTAGTATATATAAAAACCCTACACTAAATTCTAAAACAAACCTTCAAGTTTTAGAGCACTTCCACCTGGAAATGCTCTCAGACTAGAATTCAGCTTAACAGGGGGGTAAAAATAAGAAATTATGGTAAACAGGAAACAAAGTAGCTGAGAAGGATGGAAGTTTGCAATTTTCATGTTTGAGATGAATGTTTTTGCAGTGTATACATGCACCTGTTATAACTCTTCATGTGTGTTCATTAAAACATATGCATACAAAAGAAATGTGGATCATGTAAATTCACAGTTATCACAGCCTTTAAAGTGTCTAAATTTGTGTGATCAATGCTTGAAGATGACCACTGGTAAAAGGTCATCCCTTACATTGCTACCATAGAATTACTGCATCTTAACAAGTTTGCTTACCTGAAATAGAAGAGCAGTTATAATACTGATTACGTATGATATCATGTTAATAAAATAAGGATTTATACAAAGCAGTATTTGACTACAACAATTAAATGCTATGTTACTTGGCACATTTAATAATGATTGCTTAGAAATCTTAGCAAGTCCAGAGGACTGACTTCTAATGAAAATACTGAAATGTCTGAAATTTATTTCTAACATTTAGTGTTTTTGGTCTACTCTTTCATATGCTATTCATCTATAATACTGTCCTATCAAGTAAGTGGAATTCCTTGTAAAGTCTATATTGCTAGCTTTGTGGACTGAAAAAATTTCTTTCCAAGCACAAATGTTAACTATACAGTATATATATATATTTATATGTATATATTTATATTATATAAAGTTTACTTACGTACTTTCATCAACCATATCAGGTCTACTTATTTTTTGCCCATTGACAATAAAAGAGCAAGAATGCAACACTTGGTTCTGTATCACTTTTTTCCTTTTATCATAGACTATGGTTTTATTCTGAGTGTAAAATTGTCAAGGGATTTGGTGTAAAAGGTAATTTTACTTATATTCAGCAAGCAGCATGTTTTCAAGGCAGTCTGGAAATAAGAACTAACCAGATGGTAAGCATCTATGGAGTAGATAAGTGAAACCAGTATTGATTGCACTAACTTGACTTATTTTTAGTATCAGCAAGCCTTTAAGCTCACACGACTCAGTTAAATTATTTGTCTAGGTAAAAACTGACAATATTATTTGTTGCTTCCTGTAAGTGCTTTTGTAATTGTGTTTAAAACTACAGTTATTAAGAGGGTCGATACGTTCTAGACTATTGTGCTGATGCCGCTGTGTTTGGGCTTAGTGCTGGCTGAAGTGGACGGAGGTGGTGGCGGTCCATGGTGATGCTGAGTGTGTTGGGGATGAGAAGAGTGCCCTGGGTGTGGGGGGGGCAGTGGTGGATGAGGAGAGTGGGTATGCTGTGCGTGGGGGTGCTGCATGTAAGGAGTATGCTGGGAGTGTGCCGCATGCTGGGAATGGGGCACGTGTTGGTGATACTGGTGTGGGTGCTGGATGTGCTGGGGAGGGTGGTAGTGGTGGTGGTGGTGATAGGGTGGTGGGTTCTGCTGCATATGACAGTACTGCGAATGGTGAGAGTGTACTTGTGCCTGGGTCTGTCCCTCAGCTGGCCCTGCATGATGCATGGCAGAAGGATGCTGTGAGTGTTGCTGATGTGGGATTACTGGAGGGTGTGGAGGTTGCTGTGATGAGCCAGATGGTGGATGGCCTTGGGAAGGTGGCTTTCCCCTTTTACTACCAAATAAGGAACCTAGGAGTGAGGAGGAGTTAGGCATAGTCTGGTGAGGGCGAGATGGACACTCTCGGGTTGATGTAGCTCTTCGGCGCATGTGAGGACTGCTAATGATGGACCCCTAAAAAGAAATTAATAGAAATAAAAATTAAAAAAAATTTTAAGATGTTTAAAAGAAAAAGTTCACACTGACCCACAAACTCCTCCTTCAGTGCTCACATGGGTGGAATATGTTAAAGAGTTCTAGGAAAATTTTATTTCCAACTTCTCTAAGTTGCCAGCGAGGCAATCATGCCCTTCTTGGGACATGTATAGGCATTAACACTTCAGTATAGAAAGCTACTGCTTTAGGTATGGAAAATGTCACGGAAAAGTAGCATGACAAAATATCTAGGAGTGTGTATTTAAATGAAAAATACATTTTAAAATACTTAAAAATTACCATACTTGCTTTTTTAAAAACAACAACAACAAAAAAATGTTAATTCAACCTAAAAGGTTAAACACATAGCAGCAAACGTTACAATTCAGATTTCAAAAACAGTATTTAAACTTATAGTAGTATTTTACTACTATACACCATAATGCTGCTTCTCAAGCCTACCTCTAAATTATGTGTTAAATGGAACCACATCACTTTTGTCACTAAGTTTTCTATGTGATTTTGCCTTTCTGAGCTGTGGTCCAGTGTTTTCTATTATTTAGCTTGGAATAGTCTATTTAGTTTCTGGAAGTTTTGGATTTGTATTTTATAAAGAGAGATATGGGACACAACATTTACTATGCAAAGTGTGCTAGACTTAAACTGCAATCTATCTAAAGCAAACAAAAAAAAAGAAAAAAGAAAAAAAGAAAAATCTGCAAGCTGAATTCAGACATGAACAGTATATATAAATGGTTTGAAGATGAATGAAATCTCATGAAATCCACATTGAATTAACCTGTCTTTATTTTTTTTTTCCTCCCATGCCCTATCTGTGCAATTCCATGGTGTCATGACTGCATACACTGAACTAGAAAATAAGCAATGGGAATGGTTGAGCATGAAAATCAATAGTTTTAGCTAAATATCAAACAGCAAGAACAGTGTACTTTGTAACAAAGAGCAAGTGGGCTTTTAAGCTGGGACTAGACTGAAATGGTGGCAAAAGGACACATCATATTCATTTAACCATGCTTGCAGGAACAAAGGGAACAAGGTTAGCTCAAACCAAAAATGGCATTGGTCTAAAACAAGCTGTCAGTGCTTTTTAAGCTGGAAGAATACAAAGTGAGTAGCCTAGGCATGCATTTTACTTGAGGCAGGCAGGTTATATGTTAGAAGAAAAAAGAGCAAAAAAATATGTATATAAAAGAAAGGTTTGAAATGCACATCATCACATCCAGCTAGACATCAGTAACTTCCTACTTACTTCCATATTGCTGTCTAGCGATCCTGCACTGCTGCGTCGCCCACGCTTGCCTGCCCAGGACATGCAACACCATAGATTAGAGACTGAGACAAGACCCGGGTGAAAAACAGCCGCTCTCCCTGAATCGCTAGAGGAGTCTCTAAATGCTACTAGGGGGGCTGCAGGGGAATTAACATTGCACTGGACTGGTACAATAGCTACTAAGGCAGAAACTTAGATTTTTAAGGCCGTTAGTTAATGTAAGTTTCTGTACTTGACTTTAACTTAGAAGGCATTTCTGCTGTGAATCAACTGTAAGTACTGGGGTGTGATACTGCCATTTGTACAGCTCCTAAAACACATGTATCTTAACATCTGTATTTAGCAGTATGGTCGTGATGCTGACCAGCAACAATTTTAAGTTGTTCAGTTTTCTGGTATCTAATTATTTATGAAGTTTTCTTTAAAGACCTGTAGCATTGATATATATTCGTGGGGTGGTATTAGCTTAAATGTATAATCTAATTTTGGCATACTCTGAACTTCATTGTGGGGGAATGCCAGTGGCATCAGTTTCAGCATTTCAATTTCGAACCTCAGTGGATTTCATATAATCTGCTTTCATGATGTCTTAAAAGAAACTAAACTTAATTTTTGATTAATAAATAAAACCGGAATCTGTCTTGACATTATGGCTAGATTTTGTTTGTTTAGCTGTGCAGTGCTTTACATTTAAGTTTGATGGACCTGTTGTTTGCTTCAACACTCTTAGACTGCCCAAGTCATTTGCCTGCAGCTACACATGAAATACCAGGCTGCCTGCCTAAAGAACCAGAATACCTCAATGATTATATATAGGACACAGGATCCCAGATTTTATGTCTCATTTCAAAGGAGAGAGAATTCCATGGCTGCAGTGGAATCAGGCATTTTTTAAAAGATGTTTTGTTGAGCATTGCTTAGGAAAGTTTCACAATACTTTACTGGGAAGGTGTATAAACAATGCTAATCTCTAAAGAATAGCCAGGTTCTCAGAGCTGCTGTAAAATCTGTATCTCCTTAGATACGTATGTTCTCTCAATACAGCCATTCCATTTTCCTGCAATGCCAACTATCAGTGAATCTCCACTTCGCACTGGCAGGTTGCTGACTTCAGAATTTCCTACCCTTTTGGAGAGGAATGTGAGAATTTCAGAATCACTGACCCTGTGAGCCACACATCCTCATCTTTAGAAGCCTCAAAGCCCCCTAATATCTGTTGTATATCGCAGATAGTTCAGGAGAAGAACTTGGGACTGGTTTGGTAGTGGCTCCTGGGAGGTTTGCCTTTGCTTTTTGACAAGTCCTCTCAGAGACAAGTTGAGAACATCCATAAGTCTTATGGATCAGTACGATCTAAGATTATAACCTAAGACTATTGGATCTATGAACACAACTTGGACATATTTAGTCATGGGATGCAGCCCTGCAATACAACTTTCTCTTAAGAGCTACTGTTCTCTCTGGGCTACAGCAACATTTAACCCTCTCATTATCACTGAGAATTACAAGTACAACCTCCTGCACTGACATTAAAGTCAGGGAAAAGTGTTTTGGTCATCTTGTATGTTTGTTGGAATTTTGAGCAACTCCCTCTAGACAGACTGTCATACACCTCTTGCTGCAAGTTTTAATCTCATCAAAATCGTAACTGACCCTCTCATGGCTATGACAGTACTTTACTTTCACTTCTAGTCAGATTTTGATCTTTTTCTGCTCTGCTAGTGGGATTAGTGCTGATTAACATTCAAATAACTCTTGCTTGTTTACACAAAAACAGAGAAAGACAGCCATCTCTTAACTGAGCAGTGAATATTGCAAGTAAGACTGACACTTGCCATAAGTCATTAGCTGTGGTCAAAAATAAAAGAAAACAGGAAAATCTAATGTATTTTGCATATTGTGGGAGTGAAAGTACTTAAATGAAATAACCATGAATACAGTATATACGGACAGAAAGAGACAGATGGATTTTTGCTTAGAATAACTTCAAGGCACAGAAGTACGAGCCAAGAACAAATGGAAAATCCTATTTTAAACGCCTGTAACTTCCCACAGATAGGCACTATCCCTACACAGAAAACTTTGTTTATTTTCTTGAAAATAAATTGAACCCAATTCCGCATTGTCCTACGGCACAATATGAAAGATATTAACTAAATCCTCCAGAGCATTCTCCTGTCAGTCTATGTTTATACAAGACTGTACTCTGGCCTTTGAGATGACAAACCATCCAAAAATGTCTTTCTAAAGTAGCAGTTCAAATTGCACTTCAGGAAAAGGGTGACTGTGCTAGAATTGTGTGTAAGTACAACTGTACTAGCTTAATAGTTTAGTATTGTCTGAATCTATATAATCTGACCCTAATCTATAAAACAAGGAGGTGCTTATCAAATCTGAAGATCACTTTTGCTTAATATATTCTGTCCGACCTGAAATTTTTAAGAATGTTATTTAGTGTGAGTTTTAATTTATTTTAACAATTCTGATTCATTCAAACAGTTCACTGATGGTAGATACAGAGATTCATTAGCTAACGTAGTACAGTGATATAACAAAAATACACAATTTGGCTGCGTAGCTCTTGAAAAAAAGTTTGGAGGAAAAGTTTTAAATGGCCTTTTTGATAAAGCAAATTACTTTAGCAGCTCTTCTAACAGTGAGTCATTACACTAACTGTACTACACAGGTTGTGAAATTGAGATGCACAGCAGCAGCAGAATCTGCAACTACTGAGCTATGGATATAATGGATACTATGAACATAACTGGCTCAAAATTATCTAAACAATACACTCTAATGATAAGCTACAGAGACCACTTCTCAGAAAGAAATGTCTCTTTGCAACATTAATGTTTTCATCTTGTTTTCTGTGAGGCAGCAACAATCCTGTGATCACAGATCAATTGTGAAAACAGTTGCTTGGTTTCTTCAAAAAGATTATTCTCAAAATACTGATTAAGTTCCAGACTGTGAGGATACAACACAACTACACTGACCTTACTGACCTCCTTCACTGGAAAAGCAAATGGTGTCTTTTCCAGAAGACAGAAAAGTTGTTGATACAAAGATGGCCATACACAGCGTGAGGTGTTTTTATACACAGCTAGAGAATGATTTGGTATTGACAGTTTTACAATCTTTTTTTAATTACAATTTACATAAAATATTCTGAAAATAAATAAATGAAACTCTATGTTTGTGGGGGAGAGATGAAGAAACTTTTTCCCCTGAAAGTAGGAAGAAATATTTTAAAAAGTTAACCATCAACAAATGAGACTACATGAAGCATATAGATAGAATTATTTTAATGCTGGGACTACTTTACTGCAAATGCTTTTAAAAGTGATCTCTACTGGTCTGATTGTTTTGAGACTGCTCAGGACATTATGAAACAAACACTATTTATATTCATATAACCATGACACCACCCTGCACTTCTGTGCAGATTTCAGTACACTATAACTTTTTAACCAATGCAATAAATATTATCCCTGCCTTAAAAATTGAGGGTGAGGGGCATAAAGCTTGATTTCCACTAGTGCTCATTGCTGTAAGCCCAGTGTCATAGAACTAGCTCCTCCAGGAACAGAAAAACCACTGGCATTCAGATGACCCAAAGTCATCCAAAATCAGAAACTTGAATAGCTTACTCCATGCTCTGCTATGGCAAACAAATCAATCTTCCCACGTACTTAATGGCTACACTTCCCACATCTTCCTCTAAATCTGCTGAAGAAATAACTGTATATTGCATAAGTAGTGAAAAGGTCATCATTCTACCAGATTTCACAAAACTCACTACGACTGCATTAGAATTTGTTTACTGTTAATATTTTTATGTAAATTAAGAATTCAAAATTACAGAACAAAATCTCAGTTCTTCCTCAACTACAGCTCAAGAACATTTAGTAAAAATAACTATTTTCTTTTCTTCTGAGAAAGAATAAAGCACAAGTGCTTCTGACACATTCACACCTTCGAGCAGTTGGTTGCCACATTATGCTTTTTAGTCCTTGGAAGTAACTGTCAATCAATACTACCCACAAAATCAGGACCTCATTCATATCATTTTCACAACTATCATCTAAACTATCACAGCAAATGCACAGAAGACTAACCTCAGAAAGTTGTTCCTGACATTTGCTTTCTGACAGAGAAATCTTGTCTTTCCTTATGGTTTACAGCTTAAGGGTCAGAATCATTACGGTACTGACATTTATTAGACCTAAGCTTATACATTCACACACTTTTCCAAGACAGAAATGTAAAGTCTGTTTCTACAGCCACTGCACGCTACTGTGACATCTGGTTGAGAGTAATGGACTGTTTTGTTGTTTTTTTTAAATATAGTTTTGCCACATACACACCCAATCAAAATGCTGGTCAATCAGATTCCCCTTTCCTTGAATCAATCTTTAAGTTTTTATTTGTTTTTACGGTGTTCACTGGGTAGTTATCTGCCTTCTTGCAAATGTATGTAGCCAGAGAGTTCCAACATTAATTAGACTTATTTTTTAATAAGAAAGGATCCCTTTGAAAATTCACTTAAAGACACATATCCCAAATAGTCCCACTCCTCATTTCTCCTTGTCTTTTCTGTGTTCCATACCACAAAAAGAAGATTTGAGGCAACCTAACTCCGCGATTCTTTACAGAAGTACTCTCATATGGTATCTCTGGGACACAGTAACTTGCTAACTGAAAGCAATGCATTTGTTACTCTGTGAATCATCTTCCCCATATCAAAACCAAGTCAGCCTCACATATAAGCTAGTCACTGAGAAAAGGTAGAAAATGTTGGTATAATCGCAGTAAAATTATTATATGAAATAACAAAGCAAGTAACACACGTCATTTTTCAAGTCAGTTGCACTGCACAAGACCAAACAGAAACTTTCCATAATTCTCAACTTGTTAAAATTAAGTTTAGTTGGGTTTAACAAACTCATTGATAAACCCTGCAGTCTGTGAATGATTTCTATATTTTATCATGGAAAAAAGTTATTTTCAGTAATAAGCATGCCAAATGTATGCATGCCCTGTTGAAATGTGATGTTTTCATGATTATGAATACTTGTTTATTGCATAACACCCAGAACATGAATTTAAATTTATGAAAACGTTTGAATGACTGGGATGAAAAATTCCTTTGAGATGGAAAAAATTGACCAAGAATTACATTTATGTGTAAACATACCTACTGAACTCACATATTTAACAATATGGCAGTTCTCATTCTAGTGAAATAAAAACAAAACAACAAAAAGGGATGATGAAAGTATCCTCAAATCTGAGATATAGTACTGGTGAAGACTTAGTGACTTGATCTAAAATCCATTGAAGCCAATCAGGCAAAAATATTCAACTTCAACTTCATTGTGGATCAAGGCCCTAGGTCTTTCATATGAAGCAAATGGGCATGAGGATGAAAGTCTAAATGGAGAATAAAACAATTGAAAGAGCTTACTCTCTCTATACTTGTATGCACATACATAGACCCACAAAACATTGGCTATAATTTTAGTTTACAGCGATTTTATTCATTGCAGCTAGAATCAATTCCTCAGTTAAAAAGAAAAAGAGCGTCTACTACTGAAGACAGACACAGTGCTGAAATTATGACTATACTGTAAACCATCATTGCAATTAAAAGAACAAATCAGATTAGGCAACACACACTATGAACTAAAGAAAATAAAAAATATAGTTGCTACTGCTTCCAGAAGTACTTTCTGAATACTGGACACAGTGTTCAGATGTGACTTCTTGCAATGCCAGGAATCACGTTTAACACTGAAACACAAGGTTACTACCTGTGGTAGCCTGTATTACCATGGGTATGGCAGTTGTGCACTACACACACAAATCACAAAATAACACATACCAAACTTTCCCCTGATTCTTCTTTAGCAACTAACTCCCACCACCACTCCTTTCCAGTCCTTAGCTATATTAATCAGCTAATAAATTTTAGAAACATGAGTGGTTTTGTGGGATATCAGTATTCTTTTCCAGAATGGTTTCTTTCATTATTCTGGCAATAATATTTCACAATCACCCCTTATACAAGAATTAGGAACTTTATCTTGAATTGCAAAATAATAAAATAGAACTGGGGACACTGTATAACTGAATTACATAGCTCTAAACAGAATTTAGTAGGGCTTCACTCAATTTCATTCATCAATGTGGTAACACAGGTACACTTGAGCACAAAATACACAGAAAGCAATTATTACACAGAGACCAGTTTCTAGTTTCTTTTTTTCTAAGCCTACTTTATCAAGGGAAGAAGCAAAGCAGAAGAAAAAGAGAAAGGTAAACTAAGTGGGTTACTCTTAGCGCAAGTCAACCATTTCTTCTATAAAACACTTACAATTTTTCCACTGTCTTCACTCTCCTTTTAAAGTATATATAGCAATCTACAATGGTTTAAATGTTTTCAAATAATTGTGGCTCAACAGAACAAGGGTAAAAGAACAAACAAATTAAACACAAAGTATGACAGAAGAGCTATTAAAAATGTTTGTAGTTTTGGTGTTATTGTAAGTTACTCAAGTTTCAGTGTTCAGTTCTTACAGTCTACTGTGAGCTGCGACTTATGCATAAATCACACATCTTTGCATGCTGTAGTCAGAGCAAGGAAATAAAGGCAGTGCTTACCTGCTTCAGACAGGTCTCTAAGGGAGCTGCTCAGTGCACTTCTTTTCAGCCCTTCCCCTGTAGCGTAGCTGTCATCCAGGCAAGCTCTGTTCAACGTCCCATTGCCAGAATCTTTTTTCAGACTGGAGCACTGAGACATGCTTGGACGCACCACTCCCTTCTGTTTTTCTAGTTCAGCTGAAACAAAAGAGAATAATTTTTCAATTTATAATTACTGGCTATAACGAAGCACAAAGTAACATCACAATTTCTGTATGTGATCACATACATACTCTGAATAACAGCCAAGTGTTCATTTTGGCAGATGATGATAAATACGAGAGGAAATTTAGCTCTGTACCAACAGCTTTAAAGCACAACATACAGGATGAATGGCTATTACTCTGTTGGAAAAACTGAAGATAAATTTCTATGATTAGACAGTCACATGAAATTCAGCAAAATATGTACGTATGATTTGTACAAAAGCTACCTAATCAAGAGAATACAGGAATATAAATGTAGAAGTGTAGAAAAAAAAGCAGAATCACAGAATGGTTTGGATTGGAGGGACCTTAAAGATCACCTAGTTCCAACTCCCTGCTCTCTTTAATTATTGAAAGACCACAAGGTCTCCCTGGAGACTTCTCCAGGCTGAGCAACTTCAGCTCCCTTCAGTCCTTCTTCGTAATAGAGGTGCTCCAGCCCTGTGGACATCCTTGAGGCCTTTTCTGGACCTGCTTCAACAGGTCCACGTCCTTCTTATGCTGGAGGGCCCCAAAACTGGGTGCAGCACTGCAGGCAGTGTCTGACAAGAGCAAAGTAGAAGTGGAGAGTCACCTCCCTTGCCCTGCTGGCCATGTTACTTTCGATGCAGCCCAGGATATGGTTGGCTTTTGGGCTGCAAGTGCACACTGTTGACTCACATTGAGTTTTTCCATAAACTAACATCCCCAAGTCCTTCTCCCCAGGACTGCTTTCAAACTGTTCTCCACCCAGCCTGTATTTGTGCAGGACCTTGCACTTGGCCTTGTTAAATTTCCTGAGATTCACATGAGCCCACCTCTTTAATTTCTCAAGGTCCCTCTGGATGGCCTTTTTTCCCTTCAGCATGCAGAAAAATTCAGTGAAAACTATCCAAAGGGCCGTCATCAAAAATTTCAGTCACATAAATTACTCTTTAAATTTTTACTGTAATTTACACTAACAATTATAAATCTGTTGCTATTTACAGTTTGTCCAGGCTAAGTTTCCACTGCATCTATATTGTACCAAATTACTGTAAATCAACCTAGATGAAGTTTAAGGGATCATTGGGTTTTTCTTCTTTTAGGAATAAAAGACATGGAAAAAAACTAAATTATTTTGAAGTTGGGAGGAGTTCTAATGGGCTATGCAGACATTAAAGACTTTCTCACTTTGATTAGTTTGAAAACGCTCTACTATATGTACCTTTGTACTTACACTCTATTCTGTGCTTTTCCATTTCTTGAACTTCTGCAACTGACTCCCTCAAATCATCCGTAAACTTCTTCCTGTCCTGAGGATTTGGTGCATTGAAATTTATTAGTACTTTGATATCTGCTCCTGGAACAGCTGATGTGAGCCGTATGCCATTGGGATAATCTAGAAGAAAAAGTGAAGAAAAATGTGAATACCAAAGCTTTGGTCATTTTTCTAAATTAACATAGGGGACAAAATCTGGGAAGTCAAAGTCAAAGGGCACAGAAAAACAAAATCTGTAAGACATTATGAAACTGCTTAACTGTTGAGATTCATAATAAATATTGAAAGGCAATCTTTATGCAGCCGTTATCCTTAAGGTATTATGTACAATATAAAAGAAAAATCACAGAAAGAAAGAAAAATGTAGAGGGATTGATAATTCTTATTTCATTGAATAGATCCCATTACCTAGCTTAATCAAACTGAGTAAAGACTACTCAAATATTTCTCAAGTACTAGAAACTGACTCATCCTTTTAACTTAACATTTTTAGGAATACAGACACACACTAGTATGTAATGTAGTTTTTAGTATTCCCTAGTGAGTTTGCATCCTGGGCACCCTACTTAGTTGATTTTTTTTTCTTTTTTTTTTTATTTTAAATGACCTGTGAAATTACATACTGAGAAGTAAAATGGTCCATATTATGGGCACCATCGTATAAAAAGTAGAACTTTCAGAAAAACCCTCTTTGTCTCTTCTGCTGTATGAGGCTAGAAATTTTAACAGCTACTCAAAAATATTCTGTAATTGAGATAAAAGGTTCATTTACAGAAAAACAGTATATAATGAAGATATGCTCAGCTACAGACAACAGAATCAGTCTTTTCTTGAATCACAGATTTCTAGAGACAGGATGTCAGAAAAACTCAAAATGTGCATCCCAAATCACAGTGTTTTCTTTAACTCACTGCTTGACTCAAATCTTTAGTTATGTATGCAATCTGAAGTCCAGGTGACCCCATATATAGTAAAAAAAATCACTTGCTCAAGAACCAGTTGATGATGTAAGGCAGTGTCTTCCCTCAAAGTCATGAGGTTTCAACAGTATATAGAGTTAAAATATTGAATAGCAAGTGCAAGTACTAGTCCATTCTCATACTGTTCTCTCAGGTGAAAAAAAGCTGCCAAGTACCCCAAGCTTCAAGGGACACAGAGAAAAAGAAGGGAGGAAGAATTTAGTGTTCTGCCAGGGTCTGATACTGGCATCTGGCACAAAAGCAATATCTATCTAGCTAATCTGCTTCTCCTAAACATATGACAATACCAGCTATCTTTCATCAAATAAGACAGCTGCCTTGAGTAGTCTGCAGCTGCTGTCACTCAGAATAGCCAAAAATACAGTGGATTCTGATGCTAAGTAAGGTTACAGAAGTGGATCATTGGCTTGAACCCTGAAACCAGACATCCAGAGAACAGCCCTAAAAAGTATACCAGTTGAAAAAAAGATGTTTTTGAAACTGAACAAGTAAAGAAACTTATTAACTCCTAACAGTCACATTAGCTCCTTCACAAAAGAGTAAATAAACTACAAAACTTTACATAATATACCAACAAAACGTTTTAATTCCAAATGATACTTCCCTACAACACATTGATTAAGCATCAGGAAGCACTGACCTAAGTATTTATGGATTTTAGATACACTCTCTCTAAAAAGATTTACTTGTCCTGAGTATTTTCAGTGATTTTGACTGAAAATGTAAAACATATTCCCTGTGGTCTACTTATTTACTAGTGATAAATGACATAATTTCTCTTATGGAGCTCATCCACCTGTCAGCATAGCTGATTTCTATTATTAACCCAAATAATTTTGTTCAACCTCATTAGTAGCCAAACCAGTATTTTTGTTGCTTCTCCTTTAATTACATTAAATTTTATTCACTTGAAATCAGCTGATCCTGACAGCTGCTACATAGGTTTAATGAATGGCACAATGGCTCTGGCCAAGATACCCTAAAGCTTGACTGGAACAGGGAAAATGGAGATGATCAATTTTACGAATCAGACAAGAACAATACTTCTCTTTCCCAAGTGAAAAATCACTACATTCTACCCAAGAGACAGCAATATTAGAAGTACAATCAGCTCACTTATTCATCATATTCTGGAATGTCTTACCTGAGAAACCCAAATACATCTACTGATGTGTCTCAGTGAAATGCCTACAGTTTGCTGGCAAGAATTAAATCCTTTTCTCCAGGTCACACTATAGATATTTTTAAGTTTACTTGAATAAAGTGCTCCTACTTGGTATGCTTATGGTATTTTTCTTTTTCTTTTTCTTTTTTTTTTTTAAACTGATATCAGTGGAAATAAATATTCTTCTACTTACAGTAGAATCCAGTACAGTAATATTTGCTGTTCCTCTCTAAAAATGAATCTTATATTATATAAAATATGCATGAGAGAGAGAAAGAAAGAAAGATGTTTGCATAAAAATAATTCACAGGCTCCATCACTGCTATGAGGTCTTCTCATTCAAAATCTCCAGATGCTTTGACTCATAAAAAACAGTAATTTCTTCTGAGTGAGATGAGCATTGGAGCTCATTTTCAAGGACAAATGAATATAAGAGCTTTTCACAAGAGAAAAGCACAGGAACTACTGAATGTCAAACTGAAATGTATCCAATTTATCATGAAAGTTGAGGTTTCATCAAATAGACTGTCTCCCTAAGAACCATGCAGACAACTGTGCTTAGTCACATTATTACAGATACTGCTTCTGGCTTTAAAATCTGCAGGAGCATAAGCAAAAAAACTGGATTTTTGTTGGACTGTTGACTGCTAAGAATGAAAAAGCACTAGGGAATACTGGATTGATGCAGATTACAGCTGAAATAAACAAAAAGGTGGTAGAAAATACAAACTTTAATCCAGAATCTCTGCCTAATTCTGTCTGGATTTATATTTGAATATGTAGTAGACACAAAGGTAAGACCAAATTAGGAAAATATATGAAACAGTGGCTTAAATTACAGAAAATACTGTAGTAGTCGTCACAGAATCACAGAATCACAGAATTGCCAGGGTTGGAAGGGACCTCAAGGATCATGAATTTCCAACCCCCCCGACACACGCAGGGCCACCAACCATTCCACCTAATGCTAGACCAGGCTGCCCAGGGCCCCATCCAATCTGGCCTTGAACACCTCCAGGGACAGGGCATCCTTTTATCTCATTATCATATACTGAATTCCAACTAATTGTACCATTGATTCAGCAACATTTACAATTTATTTGCTTCTTTACAACCATTCCGTTATTTACAAGTGTTCACAAAACACATTTGGCTAGATCTGGCTTCTGACAACTATTACTCGAATAGAAGTCTTTGTATGCTGATACCAGGCTGTAACCTTCAGGATTAAACTCAACTCACAGCAACTTTATTCCTAAAATTAGAATCAAGTCCTGTCCAGCCCTTTGTTTCATACAATTTTTATTTATTTATTTATTTTTAATAAATAAAATCATCTAAAAAGAGAGAAAAGACTTACACTGGTTCTCAAAAAGAAGAACTTGCATGCCATAGAGGGAAAAGGACTGTCGAAAGCTGTATGTAACAGAGTTCTTCTTCTTTTGAAATATCTTGGTCACCTAAAAGTTATCAAATAAATAAAGTAAAATATCTCTTTTATCATGCATTTATAACCTTCCAGCAAAAATTAACTTGCTATTTCTTTCTTTTTTTCATAATTCAACTTATGTATTTAATCTGCTGCTCCCCCAGAAACAAAAAACTAGCTTTGAAGTACTGCTCTCTCAGCCAGAAGGCTCAAAATTTTACCCAGATGCAAAGCCTATATTTTCTGTTCTCCAGGACTCTACTTTTCTACACTCAAAAAGAAAAAAGCCTGCACATTTATTGTACACCGTACATGCTAGGAAAAACATATATTTTTTTTTAATCATCCTTTTAAAGAAATTAACTGCTACCACACTTTCCTTCATGCTTTCTTCTTAGTTTGACTACTACAGCCCATTGGTGTGGACTTCTCAAGCCAAGTTTAATTCTTAGCCCTTCCTCTCACCTGCAGAGCAATCTTCCAGGCCTGTTCCACTTGTACACCTCCAAATATTGTCTCACACCATCTCATCCAATATAAAGAGATTTATTTTTAATGGTTCTTTCTAATTTTTGCTTTTTGCATAGCATTTTACTAAAACTAACAAATCTCTTCTACATTACTTACAGAAAATTCTGATAAAATTACAGGCATCTAAGTAGATAAAAATGAACAAGAAGTTGGCAGCCTGAAGATGACAGCACTTTACCAATTTACATCCAAACTCACTTTACATATCCTATTCCTGTGTCAGTGAATAAACATGCTTCATGACAACCACAGAAATACATAATCTACTTTTTCTGCAAGTAACTGGAATTCATTATTTACTGAAGGGAGACATTCCTTAGAGATATAGTTAAACTAGAGGTTATTTTTGTTCGTTATAATAAGAGCTATGGTATTAAAGTATTTTCTTATGCTCAAGTGCAGTAATCAATAAAAGGCTTCCATTTAAAAATAATTTATATATAGTGAACAAAACTAAGAAAATTTAAATATTAATCATTCTGAAATTGCTGGAGTTCAGAGTAAAAGATATTTACTTCTAGGAATGTGCATGCATTTATTACTGCTGACTTCACAGACAGAGGCATTTCTGAATACCACACTACAAGTCTTTTCAACCCCACAGGCAGTAAATGCATACACTGAAAAAGGGGAAAAAAAGTAATTTGTCCCCCAGAGTTCTCCAGAAAAAAAATCTGTTAGATTTTATAAGCAATAGATAAAAATGCCATGAACAACCTGGTGATAATTCAGTAAAGGCTTCCCACATCATAGTCCTTACTCCACAAAAGCATGATGAGAATTACAGGCAAAAGTTTGTTTCAGTGTAAGCACATGAACAGAATAAGTCTTGTAATATAATCAGGTTTAACGCTGAGTAAAAAGGAAAAACATCAGTCCTCTCTGAATCTTAGCATTAGCAAAGGTAATCTTACAAAACAAAATGAAACAAGACCCCCTGAAACTGAAAATACATACCACAAGAAGGTCATTAAATAAAAATATTTCTCGCTGGTGCAACCCAAGCTTCTGAGGTTTATTCGGATCAGGAACTTCAAAGAGTCTACAGTAGCAAACAAGCCTTCGGTGGGGTAGGGAGAGGACCTATGGTAATACAGAAGCTCATGGTTACTCTAGCAATATTTAGCCAAAGAAGAGGGCCTTTCATACCTGGAGTCTTGTATGAATAATTCAAATATCTTTTACCTCTAAGCTCATTACGCTTTTTTAATAAAAGAGGAACAACACCGAGAAGGATTTCTATGCTACAAACTGCATGACATTCAAACTTCAACAACATTCTCATATCAACTCTAACAGCCTGCATTTGGATACCTGTGGAAGGCTTGTTAGGGGTAGATCCTTACTTTGTGAAACAATAAAACTTTAACAGAACTCAAGATTAAGCTCATAGCAAATTATATTTGCTTTCCTGATCATTTTTACATATCAGTATATGAAACAACTTTAGCTTTTGTGAGATGACAGATTTAGTAACATTGTAGATTACTTTTTGTCAGCCACTGAGTTAAGCCAGTTTTTTTCGTTCCCTGATACAAAGGAAAAGGTGACATTAGGATAGTAATGCACTTTCAGGATGGCTTGTTTTCTCACGCCAGCAAGAAAACCAAGAATTATGTTCCATTTTTTATGAGAAATGCCTGCTGAACCTATCTCCAAAACTGTATTTTTCTGTCTAGTCAGACTTCACTTCATTCAAATGCAAAAGATTATGCTTTGTTAACAGTATTAAAAGTAGTCCTTTAAACTTTCAAGTAGAGAATAACTGGACATATTTCATTTATATCTTATATTTACTTATAATTCCTGATTCTGCATAGGAATGATGACATTTACTAGGAAAACAAAAGCAGTCAGACTATTAATGCTGCTTCTTCCTCTGTGTGAGCAGAAAAAAAGAGTAGAGTGGAAAAAAGCTTACTGTTTTTTATCTGCCTTATTCCTGATTGTTGTCACTTCATATGGTGACACTTCAATTATCCCTCCCAAATAAAATGACAGCTGCTATTAACAGACAAAATTCTAATAGCATTTAATTTATCTATGGCATTAGTTTGATTACTCATCCTCCCTGGACCTGCAAGGAAAAGCTATTTAAAAAGTATATCTGATTTTTTCTAAAGAAGCCAATGTTGTGAAGAATGCTAGAGAAATCAATGGTTTCTACTTTCAGATTGACTGTCCTGGACAACTGAACAGTTGATGGGTGTTCTCAATGAAAAGTAGCAGGAATAAAAGTTGCACGTCCTCATTGTTCCCTGCCTCCAGGTACATGGCAGACTTAAATTTGTTATTGCAACATAAAGGGTATCACCCAGTCTATGAACTTGCAAACAACTACAGTGAGCTTGGTATTGAAATTTAACTATAAAAAATGTTTTCACTCATAGCAATGGATGATCCTGTAAGATTCCCTTCCACCATACTTCACAAAGGTAACGTCTTTCAGTTGGTTTTTACAATTCAGTGATACTCTTAGACATGCAACCATGAAACAAAGACAGAATAGAAAGCTAACTCTGAATGCTTTTAATTACTTACATGGCAAAAAAAAAAAGAAAAAAGTAAAATCAGAAGGCAAACAAATGGAATTTTAAAGTAACCTCCCTGGATTGTCCTGGTGAAGACGTTAACACGCAGCGCATTATATTGATAAAATCATAACTGATTTTAAAAAATCATTAGGCTCAAGTTTGCATAAGGCTATCAGATTTCAGAATACTACATTCACTCCTAGACTATTTTTTTTCCCTTTATACGTTTGTTCTTTTAATTTAGAACTACTACCAATATTGCCATCATGAAATGAAAGTAAGTGAAATACCATGTCAGAAGAAGAGTTTCAGGAATACTATTTTATGCATTTATATATTTTAGTTTTAGAGATGTTATTGAACATGTCTATCTGGAATCTGAAATCAGTATCTTCTATGTCAATTTACCTCCCACAGGAGAACAGTTAACATAAATTGCAATATCTTTCTAGAGCATCAGACAATATCGAAATGGACAAGAAATAACAAATAATAAACACACTGGAAACCAGATGGAAAGGTGACATACTGCTGTAAATTTGCTTGCTTGTTTTCTTATTCTTTACTGGCTATTTAATGCCTATAGAGATAACAGCATTTGAAATACACGCAGTGAGTACTATAAACTGCAGGCAGTAAATTAAAGAGTGTAGCTGGTAAACATATTTGTAAAGAAATCTTCATACTTTGCAGTTATTACAACAACTCAAAAAAACTTGCTTGATAGAAGCCCAATTTTTGAAAATGCTAAAATGAAACAGAGTGCATCATCACCACTTAAAACAACTACAAACTTTGAATGAGTACAAGAAAAATACCTACACAACCAAGTCCATGATGCAGAGATCCAATCTACAGTAGAAAGACATATACAAGTTCATTAAACTTCAGAGAAACACAGTACTGTATCATAGCAAGTAAATACGTCATGGTCTTACTATGACTAAATGCCTATAAAGTAAAAACAAATATTTCTATCAATAAAGACTACTGGCTATTTCCTATATTTTCTTTCACATAGTTAAAAAGAATAGAAGATCCTTGATCCTAGGACTCCATCGTAGCATTGTTTTTCCCCACAACAAAGCACGAGGCACCTCAGGATACTTAAAACCAGCATTAGAGTTCCTTGGACCTTATTTCAGAAATTCTCAGACAAAATGACATGATCTCCTCTTACAATTAGCAGCTCACTGAGCTAGCTGCAAAACTCAGAAAGGCCTGCATATGGAGTTCTCTGCCACCCTTTGTAAATTCTGCAGTCATATCTGATAGCATAACACCACATTTTACTGAGAGAAAATGTTGGAAAAAAATATCTCAAATTGAATTTATGATTTGGAATATCATCATTCACAAGTATCAGACTAAAACAGTTTCATCTGCACTGAATACTCCAAAATAAAAGACAATCATATAATAATTTATTATTTTTGTCATTTTCAACTTTCTGCTTTTTAATAATCAATTTATACATCTAAGCAACACAATTATGTGTTCTCCTATGCTGTGCATTGCCCTACATCTCCTTACTATGTAGTAATTTACATTCTGGGCAAAGACTTACAGGTTTCTTTCCTACTATGAGTTTTTCAACCTTCTGGACTTGGGATACATGATCCTCATTTGTCTTCAGTTCCCGCTTGCGGATCCGCTCATAAATCCCAATCAGCATTTCTCGTGGGATATCTTCACCATCATCCACACCTACAGAATCCAACAGTTTTATGATCAGTTGGTTTTGATTCATAGCTGTTGGACATCTCCCGTGCTGTTCTTGGGCCCACCTTACCCAAGTGGCCCCAGTCATGTTACTGAGTACTGAAGCACTGAATTTTGCCCATATGCTTCTTATCTCCATACAACAAGGCATTGATCGAAATCAAACTATTGTTTTGTTTGTTTTTTTACATCATTACTTTAAAACTAATCCCTAAAAAGGCTGATTTCCAATGTAGATTATTTTCTTTTTTCTTTACATTTCCTCTGCTTTCCTATTAAAGCTCTAATGAATAAAGTAACTCTTCAGATATTAAAATGTCCTACCTCAGAACAGTATAGCCTCTGCCCCAGTATTACTCAACACTGCTCAGAGATTCATTTCTACAAGACAGCCTTATGAATAACCAGTAAAATTAATTCAACCAGTATTTCCTGTATGATTTCAAAATTAATTAAGTTAGCCTGGAAAAAAACAGATCAACAGATTGGCCTATTTACAACGTCACTGTTTAGCACTGTGTGACTGTCATCAGCATATCAGCATACAAGCATCCCAACAAATGCCTGGAAGTTGAAAGCTTGATCATGTCTTTTTAACAGCAGTGGAAAGAGTCTGGTTTCAGTAAGTGACTGAAAGGCAGCATTTCTGGCACAGGGACATGCATATTTATTTTTTTCACACTAGTTTTAAAGCAATAACCTACTGCTTCCCAGTCAGAAGGATACAGTATTTTGTCACCAGGTGGAACAATTGCTGCCACAGAGAAATACTGCGATAAAATATGGTTTCTTTGCAATGAGGAAAACCGGCTTCTCTTTCACACCTGCAAATGTCCCACAGATCAGCCTTGGAGATCATGGCATTTAAAGCTAGAAGTGAGGAAGTATGCTATGAAAGTACCTAGTATAATGAATTCCTGACATGTACGTTGGAGTTTAGAGGGAACATACTAATTTCAGTGCAACAAATATGACTGTAGTATTACCCTATCAAATGAATATCAGATGAATACCAGGTCATTCTTAAATCTTTGTGAAATTATGTTAAAATCTCAGTGCTAACTTAAATTTTGCTAAGCTAATGCACCTGCTAAGAATAGATTGTTCATTACTATCTTACATAAATCTAAGGGAATAACATCACCAAACAGGACTTTATTTTCAAGATCTGAAACTGCAGAACATCACAAGTATTTTATTTTCACTAGCATTAAAATGATACTGGATGTATAACATGCACTCCTGAACACCAACTGTCATACACCTGAGAGACACCTATATATTTTTTTTCATGCAGAGCAACTTAGTTCTGTCCTTCTGTCATTTGGTCCAATTCTGGGTATCACTGAGAGAATGGCTGTTAAACAATGCATCAACACTCCCTGGTGCCTGCAATAGCTGGCCTGTTTTTATACAATGCTGTTGCATTCACTGTTGCTGAAAGAAGAGATGTGCATTAAGTTGTGCTTATTTTGTGCTTGAATGCAGCGGGAGAACGAAGGCAGTGTTATAATGACTTGTGTTAAAATGCGATTTTTCTGGCCTGCACACAAACACATGGTAATGGAACTAAAATGAAAGTTTCTCTTTCCCTATGGACACAAACTACCTTAAAAAAAAAAAACAAAAAAAGCCAACATCTGAGTTGCAATAAAGCAACTGTTGATAAAGTAAATGTTGTCTGAACACTCACAAACAACAGAAGGTATCCTATCTCATGCATGATCTTCCTTAGCTGTACTGTGACAATTTCCTTTTAGACAAAGCTGAGCTCATACTTCATAAAAATCTATTCTTTTTTTTCACCAGGAAGTAAGGTATAAAGAGCTGAGATACAGACATGGAAAAAAAAAAAATGTTTGGCAATGTAATTACAGTGTTAGGTGTGCCACAGGCTGAAAAATAGTTTCATTATCAGAGAACATACTAGTGAAGACACTGAAGAAATTTATATACTACTTACAGTGTACTTTCAGGAAGGTTTTGAAGTTGTGATTCAAAATTGAGACTAAATTTATATATCTGTAAACATGCACGTGCACATTCTTTGCAGAGTGTCTTTACTGCAACAGAATTTATTTACCTTCATTCCTGTGCACAAAATTCCTATCTTTATGAGTTGTCCTTGGACTTTGTAAAGGGTTTAAGCATGGCAAATTTCAATTGTATTTAAAAATTTGAGGCAGTGGATAGTTCTGACTCCATGGTAACAGTCACTTTTTGGCTACACTGAGAGAACTGAGAATAAAAGGGCTGCCAATACATCTTCTCAAGAAAGACAAGATAAAAGTGACAAAATACTGTATACTTAGTTCTGTTTTCAGTATTGCAAAAATGTCTAAAACCTGTGCAAGTGATGGTGATTTTAAAAATCAGGAGAAATCAGCAGAAATAAGCCCCCTGTATTTTGCTTTTTCCCAGAAGATACATGGTATCCTTCCAGTGGCAGTTAAAGGGAAAAGCAATGACCACTGTGGTTAGAGCTGGCTTACCCCTTAGGTTCTTGACAAAATCTTCTAGCTTCATTTTGCGTTCTGGTTTCACATTTGGGCTGTACATATCTGTGTTCAGCAGTATAATGGCAAAAGCTAGAATGAAGATGGTATCAGGATTCCTGAACTGTCTCACAACTCCTGGATTGCAGATGCAGTAACGTTGGCTATAAAAAAGGAGAGAGGAGAAAGCTTTCAGTGCTATGAATTAATATTAGAATTTCACCACATAAACCAACTGCTATGTTCCAGAGGCTGTGTAACTATTCGTGCTCTATACATACATCTTGTTTTCCATCCACATATTTTTATAGGCCTATCCTACAGTAATGGAAGGCTTTTGGCTTTTACTGCCTTTTTAACTTGTAGTCTTTGTACAGACCCTGAGCTCCACTAACTTCAACTTTTTTATTTTCAGTAACACTCACTGACACCAGTTTAGGACACAGCATTGATTTTAGCTTACTGCTGATTTACATCTGCCCAGCATTAATAAATTAATACTCTTTATTCTGCCATTGTTAAAATTATTAACAAAAGGTCAAAAGCATATATACTCTAAGAAGTAAATGGCCATATAATTTCACTCAAAAAATGCAAATATTATATGTAAATACATTGATAGAGACATTCAAAAATACCTTACATTTCTTTTCAACTGATACATGAAAACTTTCAGTTGCAGAGCCTTCCTCATTAGTGCAAATAAGTTACTGGCAACAGCACTGGCAAACAAAACTTCCTATTTTCATACTTATTGAAACCACCACAAACAGCATGCTGTATTTGAGTCTGTACGTGGCTCACAAGGACAGTGTAAATAAGCAGGAAAATAACTTAGACTCAATATCCCCACTTCTCCAGTCTGACAGTTAGACAATAGCAAGTTCCTCGTGACTGAATAATTTATTTCAGTGTCATACCTAAAGGCTTCAATGAGCCGTTCTACTTTCTGGGCTTCTCCTTGAACACGGATATGAGCCTGAAATTTCCTGAGTGCTTCATCCAGTTCCATTGTTGAGAAGTCCATCTCATCCACAACACAACTAGGATAAAAACATATTGCCTCTGGGTCATTGCATTTCCAACAGTACAGTACCAAAGGTAAGATTTTGAAACCAAAAAGTCCTTTCAAATTTCATGGAGTTTTCTGAAACCTTCAGCAGCAACTGCAATAACTATAGGTGAACTATGAAGGAAGGTTTGCAAAGAACACATCAATGAGAAAGTGTACCTGGAAGGAGGCCCTTATTTGTGGTTTGTTTTTTTTCTTTTTTTTTTCCATTAAGCAGCAGAGTTGCTAGAATGACAACCATCCAACTAATCAAAGCAACATGTCACTGTCAGGAATTCTTGCATTTATGCTTCCTAGCCAATCAATTATTATTAATATCTAATAATAAAGAGTTTATATTTTTTGAAGTATCAGATTTTGCAGCTAGCACAGTCATCTGTACTAAATGCTTATGTCTAGGAACATTCTTATATACTGAGAAAAAAATTAATCTTAACACACATCTACTATTGCTGTAATTCTCATCTCCCTATCATTTGCCATGTCTTTCAGGTAACATTTATGGAAAAATAATTACTTCCTTGCTCTGAAAATACAGTGCTGACAAAAAATAAAAAGGAACCAGTTAAATATAATCAACAATGTGAACTGTGTCATTCCAACACTTTGTTTAAAGACTGCTTTAAAATCGCAGGCTTATGAATTTCCTTTGGTTAAACTTTGCTTTTAGTTTTTAAATAACCAGACATGAATCACTGCAAGTAACAGCACTATAGCACAGAAACCACAGAAAACAAGCACAATCTGGTTTTAAAAGCCTTTTCTTAAATGTATAGCTATACAATGACAAATTAGAATAGCTCACATTGTTTTTTCTAATAATATTGTAGCTACTGTAGATTAATACTAAAGCAATTTATTCACTTCATCTTGTATATTTTTTCTTTTATGTTGAAGTGCAGGGAAACAAACAAGGTTGGTGTTTCTCACGCCCTTTGCAATCCACACCTAAAAACCTATTATCAATTTTGCAATAATGTTCATATTCTTCCCACCTACTGTAAGACCTCTAACACTTTCAAAAGCTCTTTTTTCCATCAACAATGAATGACAAATGTGTAGTCAAGCCAGAGTCCAACTGTAGTAATTAGAACAGTTAAGAACCTCCAGAAAAATGCTGGCCAGCAGCATAACAGGAAGGGGATTTAGTCTTCATGACAAGAACTGCAGAGACAGCAGGTACACCATTCTTAACTGGAATCAGTTAAGATTCTGCAAATATTTCAAAACAGCAAACAAAACTTTTCTAGTGCCCATGTAATGAGAAAAAAAAAAGGGGGGGGAGAGGGGAACAAATTATTTGGTTAGATCCACATCAAGTGAAACAGTAGAAGTAATAAGACTATGTATACTTGTCAAATCTGTTGAATTTTTGTTAACAATGTTTAACAAAATGATAATTCTTGATAACAATATCATCATGATGGTAATGAAGAGAACATGATCAAAAGGAATTCAGACACTGCAGGACATCTTGTCTATGTAGGTATTCCAGGTAAGAATATGTGTTTTAAGTGCACACCCATCAAATAAGTCAACTTTTTTTTATTATTATTTTTGCTCTACTCTGTAACGACCAAACTGCTCAAGCTTAGTTTCTGGTTCAGTTGTTTTTTGTTTCTTTTTCCTACAACACAAACAGATTTTGTTTATCTAATCTTTTGAAAAAGAACAGACTGCACAGAACTTGTCAACATATGCCTGTACACACTAAAATCCTTGTTTATCTAGCACTTAAGCCATTTGGCTGTAATAGTTATTTTCATGCTCTGTTACTGATGAGCCTTATGTAGCATACAGTATTGTTTTGTTTTGTTCAGTAAATTATTATTATTATTATTATTATTATCATTACTATTATTATCATCTTGAGCAACCTGGTCTGGAGGGAGGTGTCCCTGTCTATAGCAGGGGGTGGAACGAGACGATCTTAGAGGTCCCTTCCAACCCAAATCATTCTATGATTAGAGAGACTGAGTAAGGAAAAAGACTTAGAAATAACATATTCTAACAACAAATTAAAAGCAGAAACTTGGAGAAATGTAGGCAACTACTGAATATATAAATCCTTGTAAATATCTTTCTGAATCTATAACGGAAATAGTAACTTAGCTGCGGAGCAAAGAAACAAATATTTGTTTCTGTGGATGTTTTCTTTTTTGATCCTTAGAGTTTGGTTTCCCTCTCCCTCCCTCAGAACAACATCCAGAGGGATGCGCAAAACATGCAGTGCAAAACTACCTCTACTCTGATGAAACATCTTGTTGCAGACTAAAATATGCTTAGTCCTCCCTACAAACAATACTCACTCTAATACATCTCTGTTGAACTGCTTTTGTCGATTTCCCAAAAACTCTCCAATCATTTGTCGGCTGAGACCTTTTCTTTGCAGGAGAAAGTGAGCAACACCAACAGGAGTGTCGGGCACGAAGCCTCGCTCAATTAGGTACTGGACTCCTTTTTCAGGTTTTCTGAGGAGAAATGAGAAGACAAAACAATATATATATTTTTTTTTTTCCATTGAAGGCATCTGACTAGAACTTTGTAGCTGCTTTCCTATCACTTCTGACTAACATATTACTATGGGCTTGTATAGTTTCAGGGTAAATGTAATCATGCCATAGAGCACACGGTTTGCTGTTAATCGCTTACTAGCTTTGAAACAGACCTTTGCATGCTTTTACACATTTCCTGTTCCAAAGAGAAGCTTTGTACATTAGCTTCAGGCATGAAAGTCATAGCACTTGTCAAAGCTAAAGACAAGCCCCAAAAAACCCAGAAAGTAACAGAAGAACACCACTGACAACCTGAGACCTCTGCTCTCATAAGTTTAGCTGATCAAACAAAAACATCTGAAGAGGGATAACTTGCAAGCTAAGAAAACAAAAAAATAAGGGGAAAAAAAGAAAAGTAATACAAAAAGAAGCATTTATGATAGCAGAGCTCCCATCTAATTTTGTCTTTTCTTGCCTTGTTCTTTACCTTATCAGAACTCTTACCCCAGATTTACCTCCCTCAGACAAGCACCATCATATTTTCTGGAGTCTTTTACATCTCTTTCTATCTCAGCTCCAGATTTAGCTTCAATCATTTTCAGATCTCAAAGCATTTTACTCATTTTAACATGTTAAGCAGAGTTTGCTGGGGAGGAGAGTTGGGAAATGAAGTGATTTCTGGCAATAAAATACAATGCTTATAAAGACAAATTCTGCTTATAGTATAAAGTGAGGTAAAACTCCCCTCACAGCAAGCGTTGTGCAGAGCACCTTCCAGCAGCATGAGTCAATACATAACCATAAGTTCTCTTCAAGACACTAAAGGAATGTCTTCACAGAATCAGTGATCCTATCACCATCTTTATTTTGCAAGAAATTATAACATAGTGCCCACCCTTAGAAATGGGTGACATGCACCACTTCTGCCTACTGAGAACTGAGACAGACCCTTCTATATGGTTACTGCTAAGAGTCTTTAATGATTAGGAAAATTCCTAGTGATGACTTGTTGATTATACATACAGGGAAGATAAGAGTCTATAAATAGCAGCAGTGGAAACTGCCTAAGCTATGTAATTATTTTCAGATACATTAACTAATATAAAACAAATCCTCTAAGCTAGCCCCTTAAACAGCTAATGATACACATATTTACAGGACTTTTCATATTTATAGGACTGTCACACTTTCAAAACCAAGCTAAAAATCCAACTCAAAAGAATATATCAATACAAATATAAGGAAAGGAAGAAAAAAAGAAACAACTAATACAAAAAGATGTGGAAAAGAAATATTTAATGAAGGTTTTCAGATGCTGCATAAAAGGCTAAGGAATTTCCTAGAAACTGATTAATAATACCTTTAGGATGGTTTAAAGTGGCATTTAGGGAAAAATAATGGGAAAAAGTAAAACAATTTTGAAAATAGTTGATCAAAAGAGTGCAGGTTTAAAAGCATGCTTTTCAGAGAGCGCTGATCATCATCACATCCAATGCAAATAGTAACCTTCATGTGTTTCTGAAGACACACTGGATCCCCAGCAATTACTGGAAATAGACATTTTTAAAGGAAAATACATTCCAGGAACGAAGACTGCAGCAAAATCAGACACAAATACAATAGTATTAAAAAGAAAAGGAAAGAGATTAAAAAAAAAAAAAAAAAAAAAAAGCACCCTTCTCCCTACACCAAGATAACAAATTCCTGCACATCACTGCTGTTTCCTTTTCTCCTTAAAATAATTTAAACAGGAATATTTAGAAAATCTAAAATGTGCTGTAGTTACTCGAAGGAGATTACTTCTTTACTCACTCAGCAACTTGTTCATGTAGCACTGAAAGCATAACTTCAGGGGAAGCTCATATAGCTTGCTGATTTCCCTTTTGGCTAAGTCTTAAACATTTGTCTAAATCTGCTAAATCAGCAGCTTGTTGGGGGAGCAAAGATAGGTATGCTTAAGAGTTTTGCCAATGTAATTGATGAACAAAGCTTTTCTAAAAAGAATATAAGTATTTAATAGTACAGGGTAGAAGAAAAGATGAAATAATGGGGTAGTACTACCACTTGGTACATTCCCAAGAGAAATGTCACTTATCCAAAGTTCTAAGTGTCTAAGAGGGAAAAGTATTTTTCATTAGGCTCAAAATAACATGTATATAGGCAGCAGAGAATCTTTATAAAATACAGCATTCCTAATGTTTTTGTGCCATAAGAAATTCAGTTAAAAAAAACCAAACACTACATCCATCCTTCTAAATGTGTCGTTATTTTCTCAAATCCCTTTTACCTGGTCTGAGGAATCACTGAAAGACACTGTTTGGACACCATCATCACAATGATTTATACCATGGGAGAATTTCACCCACTGGTCAGCAAATCTACCCACCAAAAAGCTACTGCAGAAAATCTGGACTGCCAATGATAAAAACCAACCCCACAGTCCATGAATGACTACATAAGGACTGTCAAAATCATGTAAACACAGTCACTGGTTTGACATTTCCTCTGCCTGAATTCTGTTTTCAGAGACGCTCAAGACGTACCAGAGTTTAATAACACTACTGCACAGTAGATCATAAAAACGTACGAGGAAACCAGGAAAGCCACCATCAGGAACAGATCCTCTTCCCTCTAGGGAGGGCAGGAGAGCAATGTGGGATGGCTGACCCACTTCCCAAGCTGGTGCAGCTGCCAACAGCTGTGCTCACACAACCCAGCAGGCAGCGTAGCAGCAGGGGCAGAGCACAGATTGCTGGTTAAGCCACAAAAGGATTCACAGTTAGAAATACACCAATTTATGCTGCTGCCATTGGACATTAAACAATACTAGATTCAAAAAGTTAGTGTTATTTGGAAAATATGGCTTCGTATTATCCTGATATTCAAAATGGTATCTTTCAAACTGTAGGAAATAATTAAAAACAAACGAACAAACAAACAAAAATGCAGTGAATTTGAAAAGTGAATTTGGTAAAAGAAAAGCTTTTAGCCAGGCGACAGATGGTAAGGATCAGCACTAACTTACTGTCATCTACTAGACTTTGTGGTACAACCAGGCTTGATGCAAAACAACTTGAACTTGAGGGCTGTGGTCTGGTGAGTCTTTCAATGGCGGTGCCAGTACCAGCATCTGTCTCTTCTCTCATCCCCATTGCTAGCTCAAGAAAAACTGAACTAGGATAGAAAGTGGGTTTTTGTGGTTTTTTTTTTTATTCCAGACAAGAACTTCACCTAGCTGCACAAACAGCTGTAACAAAAAAGCCAGAGCACAGCTGCAGGGTCACTGTTTCACTTGTCAGCAGAGGGGAACAGCAAACACTGTGTCTGAAAGATCAGCTCAACAGAACCACCTGCAAAGGTGTATAAAGCCTTCCCTATTTTTGACTTGCTAAATACATAAGCTTAGAAGCATCTCAAACCACATTAAATCTTTTATTTCCTTTTAAATGCTCAGACAGCAAAGCTGTAAAATGGAAGCATTAAGAAACAAATGAGCACAGAAAACAGCTTGCCCAAGTCTATCTAATATCTAGCAATGCCAGAAGTATCTTCTGAGGTAAACTAAGGCTTTATTCACACAATGGAAATAACCACACACACACTGTTCAGTCACTGTTCAATCTTTTCATGCTGCAGGGGGAGAATTTAATGCATCTCCAATGCCAGCCCTCTGTTAGGAAAAAAAAAAAGAAAATCTTTCTTGTCTTTAATACTAGAGACACTGTTCTGAAAATATTTACAGTTCTCAAATACTAAGCATTAGCTTGTAACTAAAATCCAAGGATGGCTCTTTTAATGGAAAGAATCTAAGGCTTTTCTTGGTTACATTTAATAAATCAGTGTTTTTAAAAATTGCGGCTGTGGGAATAACAAGCTGACTGAACATCCTCCTGTTGGGCAGGCAGCTGCGTTTTGTTCCCATGGCCGTATTTCTTCACTTTTGTTGAATACTCTACATCTGCTGCAGTGACTCTAAGAGAAGCACTAAGCCCATTTTACACCTTCTGAGAGAGAAGAAAAACTATATACTTCAAATACTACCAACGTTAGTACCAAGACAAGTTGTCAGAGTTCACTCAACCATGCAGCAAGGCAAGAATGAGATTGATAGGAAAAAAAAACTAGAGAAACGGATGGTATCCTCCTCATGTTACACAACTGGCCAATGAAGACAAAGAAGAATTAGATGTACACTGCATCTTCTGCTAATTCTAAAAAGAGTCAGTAGGTCAAAAAGCAAATCAGTAACTGTGCTTTTCTTATAGCTTCTCTTTTTTCCTTTCTTTTTTTCTTCCATGAAATCAGAGAGAGTTATCCGCATTACTTGGGTAGAAGCCCTACAGGTTCTCCCATATTATTAAAGATTTCTTCCCATCAAATTATAAAATATTACTCTTCTTTACCTCTCATTCAGGACCAAACCAAGAAACTACCACCAGACAGGCAGAGATCCCAGCTTACTTGCAATTACATCAAATTACCTGGAGTAAAGTTCACTCAGTGACAGTTAATTTGTACTACTGACAATAACAAAATAATTTACTAGGAAGTGATCTCAGTGACCACTTGTATTTCATTTGGGAGCAAAATAAAGACAGGAAACTTAGTGAACATTTGCTTTCAGAAAATAAGCAGCTAAACAATTCTACAATTACCTTCCACCTGATAGTTTCTTTATGTGACCATTTCCTAGTAAAGTGCTAGGAACCTAAACATTTCACATTACCACTTTTACTGAATGCTTAGGCTTGTCTGAAAATTATCACCTGAATTAGAATCGATTACAAATCTGTAGTAAGTGTAGGGTATATGAAAGTCAGCAGGTCCGAGCAGATTAAGTCTGGGTCATTCTAATGAAGGGAAAGACTAGAATTTAAAACTATTGGAGAAATAGTTTTTTTCTATGTGAGAAGCATCAGCCTCGAGGAGCAAAGCAGCCCGCACAGTGAAGAGAACCACAGGCACATCCCAGGCAG